CTTCTCTTCTCACAACTCTTGGACACATTATTTCCACAAGGATATGTTACTATCTTTACACAGGAAGCTGTGTCTCCTAGTTATTATTATTTTATTTTGTGTGGGAGCTTGGTTGTTTCCTTCATTGTCTCTCAAGCAAATATGAGGCAGTTTCTCAATAAAATCTTATCATTTACATATAAATGTGATACCACTGACTGATGGCCTAAGAATTAAAATAGCTACCAGGTAAGAAGCAATGTCCGTGATGGCCTCCTTAGAGGACTTTACCTGCATTTTCTCTTTTATTTCTCAGAATAACTTTTGAATAAATGTTGCTGCTTCTCCCAGCCTTGCTCTTTAATGAGCACCTGAGACAAGGAGAGATTTAGTGGTTGATGCAAGGACATGGAGCAGACAAGTTTGCATCAGGGCCTGGGTCTCAGGCCATCTGTGTCAGAGGCACCTGAGGGTGTGACCAGTACACTGTGAGCTCAGGAAGAGCCAACAACACAGGTCCTAGTGCCATCCAAAGATGTTGACATGTAAGCCTGGAGTCCTTCACAATTGCACATTATGGAATTGTTCAGATTAAGGCGAAAAATACTCTAAAAGACCTTTTCTTTAAAACCTCAGAAGTGACCTTGTCATGGCTTTTCTGAGCTGACTTAAGGTGAGAAAGAAGTATTTTTTTTTCAGTACTGGGTCTTGAACCCAGAACTTTCATCCTGTATCTTAGTCCTTTTGATTCTTTTGAGACATAATAGCTAAGTTGCCCAGGATGGGCTTGAATTAGTAATCTTCCTCCTTAGCCTCACAGAGTTCTGGGGTTTCAGAATTACAAGGCCAAATAATAACACTTCTAAATAATAAATCTGTAAAGCTTACAGATTTATTCACTACACCCAGCCATTGTTGCCGCCCACCACAGTAGAGGAGGAGCATTTCCTTAGTGGGACAAATCTAGGTTGTTTGCTATGACTGTAGTAAGAGCAAAAAGCTTCACCTCTTGAACGGCTCTGAGGCTGTGAGGTGAGGCCTAGGCAAACCATGTCTGCAAAAGTTACGTACACCAGAGTACAAGTTAGTTCTGCTGTTTTGTGCTTTCTGCTTTTTACATGAATCATTTATCTCGTTCTTATCAGAAGCATCAAGTATATCAATAAAATACAAAAAAGTATGGAGTGGGAAATAATTGGACCTTAGTAATCATTTCTATGAAGGTAGCAGTTAAAATCAAATTTAAAAAGTCAGTAGCTTTAGAATGAAGTGGGCAGGGGCGGTGATGTGCTTCTGTAAGTTCAGCACGCTGGAGGCGGAGGCCAGGCTGTGTTACACAAGCAAGCTCATGGCCAGCCTGCACTACATGGTGAGACCCTGACTCAAAAAACCCAAGCAACAACCACAACAAGAAGTAGGATGAAGCAGAGAGAGGAGCTCATCTGGATGTTGGTAAATCTGCATAATCATAAACCGAAACTGCATCCTAAATAGAATTTCCACCCACTGTGCAGCATCTTCCCGTTGTTCAGCACTGGGTGTTGAGACTTCTAGCTCTGTCATGGTGCTGGTTGGGCTCCAGACAGCTAGCAGAGCTCTCTGATCCTGCCTGCATGGCTGTGGTCACTAGGAGCCAGCCCACGATAGTGGAAATCACCTCTCTCAAGGGACTGAGCCCACGCCATGCTCTCATGATTACATCACTCTGGGGAAGAGACACAGGTACTAGGTGAGCTAGGGGTGGATTTCCTTCAAGTGCTTCCGAGTCCTGGGACCACGGGAAAGCCATTCCTGGAGTCTCAGTTGTCTTTCTTTAAAACACAGTAGTTAGAGTAACTGGCCGCTAGCCACCACACACAAGCGAAAGCGAGATCAGGGAAGTCTCACAGAAGAGCTCTCCATTCAGTGTGTCTATCTGGATGACTAAGAACTGCTTCTCTACAAGACCGCTCACATCAGTGAAATGCACATGGGTGGATGTCAAAAGACAGCTCATTACACAAGTAGTGTCAGTTACACCAGGCAAAACAAGGAAGCAGCTGCAGCAAGTGGCCAGCGCCAGCCTGAGAAGGAGCCACGGAGAGGTCAGTGCAGACCACTGCAAGAGCAGGTGCCTCCCTCTGCCTCGCCCTTGGCTGGCAGGGGAATAAAGCTGTTTTCTGGCTACACTCTTCCACCTAGGAGCTGAAGACAAACTCTAGTGCGTTTGGTTTAAGAAGGTGTTAATTGAAGTTACAGCGGTCACCACCTCAGGGTGAGAAGGCTGCAGCTGGTTTATTTCTGGATGGTAGCAGGCCACTGTGTGCAGCCGTGGTGAGCCACACACAGAGCTTCAGGACTGCCACGGCCAGTGTTTAAAATGCTGGTGAACTGAGTACTAAGGCTCTCATTCCTTCTATGTCATTTTTCATGGTCACAAGTAACAGAAAAGCAATCAATTTATTTATTAAGAAAATACACTAAGAGAAGCACCTAAGGCCCACTAGCTATAAAGATGCTAGTAAGCTATGAGAAATTTAATTCTGTTCAGAAAATAAAGGAAATTTCATTCAGAATGTATTTTCTTTTTGCATTTCTCACTGTGAATATCTCTATCCATATTAACATTCTAGTGAAGTTTTTTTTAAATCTCAAAACTGAATATTTTCATAATCACATAAGATTCACAAATGAACTGAAACATTTGGAAAAGAACTGAGTACAAACACCTGTAAAAATGTCCAGTAAGTCAGCAACAGGGCAGGAAGCTTCTACCATGGTCACAGCTCAGCCTGAGCAGGAAAGCTGCCCTGCTTGCCTGCCCTGTCCTGCTCTGTCCCGGGCATCCTGCCCTGCCCTGTCTTGTATTTCCTGTCCTGTGTGTCTGTCCTGTGCATCCTGTCCTGTATGTCCTGCACTGCCCAGTCCTGTGTGCCCTGTCCTATCCTGTCCCATGAGTCCTGTCCTGTATGTCCTGTATGTCCCATCCCGTCCTGCCCTGTCCTGCCCTGTCCTGCCCTGTCCTGTCCTGTCCTGCCCTGCCCTGCCCTGTCCTGTCCTGTCCTGTCCTGTCCTGTCCTGTCCTGCCCTGTCCTGTCCTGTCCTGTCCTGTCCTGTCCTGTCCTGTGTGTCCCATCCCGCCCTGCCCTGTCCTGCCTTGTCCTGCCCTGTCCTGTCCTGTCCTGCCCTGTCCTGTCCTGCCCTGTCCTGTGTGTCCCATCCTGCCCTGCCCTGTCCTCCCTGCCCTGTCCTGTCCTGTCCTGTCCTGTCCCATCCTGTCCTGTCCTGTCCTGTCCTGCCTTGTCCTGTCCTGTCCTCCCTGCCCTGTCCTGTCCTGCCCTGTCCTGCCCTGTCCTGTCCTGTCCTGTCCTGCCCTGTCCTGTGTGTCCCATCCTGCCCTGCCCTGTCCTCCCTGCCCTGTCCTGTCCTGTCCTGTCCTGTCCCATCCTGTCCTGTCCTGTCCTGTCGTGCCTTGTCCTGTCCTGTCCTCCCTGCCCTGTCTTGTCCTGCCCTGTCCTGCCCTGTCCTGCCCTGTCCTGTCCTGCCCTGTCCTGTGTGTCCCATCCTGCCCTGCCCTGTCCTCCCTGCCCTGTCCTGTCCTGTCCTGCCTTGTCCTGTCCTGTCCTCCCTGCCCTGTCCTGTCCTGCCCTGTCCTGCCCTGTCCTGCCCTGTCCTGTCCTGTCCTGTCCTGTCCTGCCCTGTCCTGTGTGTCCCATCCTGCCCTGCCCTGACCTGTCCTGTCCTGTCCTGTCCTGCCCTGTCCTGTGTGTCCCATCCTGCCCTGTCCTGCCCTGTCCTGTCCTGTCCTGTCCTGTCCTGTCCTGCCCTGTCCTGTGTGTCCCATCCTGCCCTGTCCTGCCCTGTCCTGTCCTGTCCTGTCCTGTCCTGTCCTGTCCTGCCCTGTCCTGCCCTGTCCTGTCCTGTCCTGTCCTGCCCTGTCCTGTCCTGTCCTGTCCTGTGTGTCCCATCCTGCCCTGCCCTGACCTGTCCTGTCCTGTCCTGTCCTGCCCTGTCCTGTGTGTCCCATCCTGCCCTGCCCTGTCCTGTGTGTCCCATCCTGCCCTGCCCTGACCTGTCCTGTCCTGTCCTGTCCTGTCCTGCCCTGTCCTGCCCTGTCCTGCCCTGTCCTGTCCTGTCCTGTCCTGTCCTGTCCTGCCCTGTCCTGTGTGTCCCATCCTGCCCTGTCCTGCCCTGTCCTGTCCTGTCCTGTCCTGTCCTGTCCTGTCCTGCCCTGTCCTGCCCTGTCCTGTCCTGTCCTGTCCTGCCCTGTCCTGTCCTGTCCTGTCCTGTGTGTCCCATCCTGCCCTGCCCTGACCTGTCCTGTCCTGTCCTGTCCTGCCCTGTCCTGTGTGTCCCATCCTGCCCTGCCCTGTCCTGTGTGTCCCATCCTGCCCTGCCCTGACCTGTCCTGTCCTGTCCTGTCCTGTCCTGCCCTGTCCTGCCCTGTCCTGCCCTGTCCTGTCCTGTCCTGTCCTGCCCTGTCCTGTGTGTCCCATCCTGCCCTGCCCTGACCTGTCCTGTCCTGTCCTGTCCTGCCCTGTCCTGTGTGTCCCATCCTGCCCTGTCCTGCCCTGTCCTGTCCTGTCCTGTCCTGTCCTGTCCTGCCCTGTCCTGTGTGTCCCATCCTGCCCTGTCCTGCCCTGTCCTGTCCTGTCCTGTCCTGTCCTGTCCTGTCCTGCCCTGTCCTGTCCTGTCCTGCCCTGTCCTGTCCTGCCCTACCCAGCTGTCCAAGCTGGGTCACACCTCACCTGCCAGGTGAGCCAGGCCACAGGTGACCAATGAACAGCTCCTCTGTGTTGAGGTTTCAAATGACATGTCGCTTTAAAAGCGCGTTGCAAAGTGAAAAGAAAGAATGGGATCCGTGCTGGTGCTCTGAGAGGCTGCAGAGCCAGAAGCCGCAGATGCAGGGGCAGCTGGCTGTCGCCCGGCAGACCCCAGGGAGACCCGGGTTCCCTGAACCCTGCAAGGAGCGTCTCGGAGCGCGGCACCCACCAGGGACCTGGCCCCCTGCACCCCCCGGCACCCCCGGGCGCGGCACCCACCTGGAGTCGCGGGCTCCAGCGCAGCTGGCAGCATCGCGGCGGTGAGTGAGGCGGGACGGCAGCGGGGACCTGGGACAGGACCGCGGGACCGCGAACCTCAGTCCGGAAGCGCCGACCAAGGGCGCTGCTGGCCCGCAGGAAGTGAAACTGCCCGCCGGCGGGCGCTCCTGCAGCTGCTGCCTCGGTTTCTCTGCGCGCCCTCCCGTCCTGCCGCCTGCCACCGCGCCCGCCAGGCGGTCACCTGCGGGACAGGGGTAGGGGAACACAGGCGAGGTGTGGGTAAATGTGCACCTTTTGTAACATCCCTGGGTTAAAGACCCAGGTGATTTTAAATATCACATAACACTATTCCCTACTCCCGCTCGAATAAAGAGAAAGGCCATGGACCTAGGTAGCCCCTGCAAATCAGAGCGTGTGTGTGTGTGTGTGTGTGTGTGTGCGTGTGCGTGTGCGTGTGCGCACACGCGCTTCAGGATCCAAAGAGGCCGTGCCAGTACATATGTGCCAGTCTATTTCCAGGTCTCTACAGAAGGAATTCATCTTTGAAGTAGAAGATATCCGTAAACATCAGCTTGAAGGCTGGTAACAATTCGTGGATGCAGCGCTCTTGTCCTTGTTAGAAATGAAACCGAGAGGCATGTGCCCAACTGTGTCCCTTACAGTCTTTCCTAGGACTAATGCAAATGCCAGCCATCGCAGTAAGTGTTAACTCTCCCCCGTCACAGGAGTTCTTAGACTTTCCTAAGAACATGTAGGAAAATGTAGGACAAATGTGTGAAATAGCAAAGTTTGAAGAGTACTGTGGATAGGTGTCTCCCACCCAGCAGCTCCTGCCCTCCTTAATAATTTTGAGTAGGTCTTCTGTATTCGAAATAACAAAGAAGAAGATCTTACCTAGTTTGTGAAACAATGTCACACTGAAAAGTGTGTGGTCTTCTGCATATGAGTGCCCACCTTGAGATTTCAGTGTGATGACGATAGTTTGCATTAGTGTTTTCAGAAATTCAACTGTTAGGAAAGGTAGGTATTTTTCCTTTTCTTTTTAAAATTATCTTAGTGTGGTAGTGCACCAGTGCCCTACATAATGCTTACGTTCCTTGTGTGGGGTTGATGCGTGCACACAGCACATCTTCATTTCTCTTTTCACCCCTTTCCTGCCCTGACTGCCCGTCCCCCATCTTTCTCTCTCTCCTTTTAAAAACACATTTGCAGTACCTAATATTTACATGCCTGCATGGAGTCGGTACACACAAGCTTACATATCACATTGCTTCCCTTCTATGAGAATTTCAGAGTGAAACTAAGGAGCACTAGGTAATGAAAAGCAGAGAGACAGCTCACTCTGTCAGGACAGGGATGGAGAGGTGAGGGACAGGGAAGAGGGACAGGGATTAGGGAGAAGAAGGGACCTGGGACGTGTTCTGTGCGTAAGCCTTCTTAGCCCAGTGCTGTCCTGGTGGGAACTTTTGCTAGTGTGCATACAACCCAACAAGAGTTAGTTGGACCCGCGTAAGAACTCCAATAATCCCCAATAATCTACAAAGACATCCTTCCATGCGCGCAGACATGTGTCATCTCAGATGGCGAATTGCCCTGTCCAGTGCAGAGCAGCCTCGCTGTGTCAGGAGGCTGCAACTGCTGCCTGCCCCCCCCCCCTCTGAATGGTCAAGCGGCGCTCAGCAGTGCTGAGCCTTATGAATCTCATCCAGGTGAGCAAACTGCAGTGGTCATGTCCAAGTCTCCACCAGCTAGGAGACGCGACGACACCTTCTCCCAAAGCACGTACAGGAAATAGGATTTACAGTGCGTGGGACACTGAGGTGCACTTTCAGACACTCATCTCTGTGATATCAGTGTGATTCTGGTACATGGAAAAATGGAAGCAAAAATGTGTCTAAAATTATAGGCTGGTTTTTAAAAACCAGCTTACCTATTGAGAATTTGTGTTAGAAAGTCTTCCACTCAAAGTTTAAAAATTATTGCAGCTTTATTTTTATTTGGAATGCTAAATGAAAACACAATTTTTATTTTTGTTGTGTAGTAACAGGTAGCCCCCTAACTTATTTATTCTTTTGCTTTATTTTTATTGCTGTTAATAACTACTTTCTTTTAAAGAAGAATAGTGTACGTGCCAATCACTATTAAGAGCTTCACGATGTTCTATCATTTGGTTCTTAAAAACCAATATGCCTTTAATGATGCTCTATACAAGAGGAATTTTAAAACCTTTAAGTGAGAAAGCTGGAATTCAGTCTAAAGCTGACATCAAAGCTTTTCCTGTTAAATATAATCCCTTTTTTAGGTCACATGGTCATTGCTGAAGATCACACAGACATCACAGGAAGGTTGTGTGCAGGGTGTGTACAGCGGTCACCATTTCTCCACCGATGCTCTGTTTCAATGCCTCCAGGTAAAATGCGAGACAGGCCCAAACCCTCTGCAGACCTCACATTCCTACCCCTGCACCTGTGATAAAGAGTAATTGATAAATCGGGCATGGTGGGAGATTAGCAGCTGTAACAACTAACAATTCAGAACAATTATAACAGATTCTAAGAAAGTTACAAGAACGTGGTCTCCTTCTCTTTTTTCTCCCACACCATATATCTGGAATTTGCCATTTGGTATTTTTAGATTGTGGTTGACCACTAGTAACTAAAACAGGAGAAAGGGAAACGCAGATAAAGAGGACCGCGGTGCTGAAGGACGGCCTTGTGTTTCCATGCACGTTCCCTCGGAGCCATAACCCTAGAGACCTACACACCATCATCCTTAACAAAACTTAATTCATCGTAATTATGGCATTCTGATTTAAGGAGGTAGACAGTGAAATGCACATGCATTTATGAAAATGTAGGACAGGCCCTACTCATTTTCTTCCTCAGTGTCAAACACATCTTGAATCCAGGTTGACTTTATTTCCTGGAGATGATACTGTCTGAAATGCTGGGCCATGTCTTGGTTCATGCTCATTCTTGGGGAAGAGGCACTTAGTAATTCTCACAGTGAGGGGCTTTTCCAGTTAGAATGCCCCCAGCAGTGTATGGTTGCAAGTTTCTGATTTTACCTCTGCCACAGAATGACAGAAAAATGCCAGCCACAGTTGGTTTCTTGCTTCTTAATATATCAAACTCTGGGGTCCATTGACTTCTCCAGGGTGTCCTTCTTCTGGCTGTGTATCGATGTCCAATCAGTCCTGTTGTATTCACGTGTGGAGATGCTGAGAGCCTCCTGCTGACCGCATGTTCCTGTGATTGGGCAGCTCACGTTGCAGCCACTGTGCCAGTCCTGTGCCCTCTGCAACTGGATGCCTTAGCTCAAGCTGTTGGCTTTATTCTGTTTTTAGATTTGAGATGCATTTAAAACAAAATTGATTCTTTCCAAAGCAACAGCTTATTTTTTTAAAAAAGAAAATGATTTTTATTAGTACATTTTAAGTATATAAAATGATCATATTCATCCCAGGGAATTTGGGCCTGTACGTGATATATCTTGACACTTGTCCCCAATCCCCCTCCCTCCCTTCAACCCTCTTCCTCTCCTTATTCACAAAAGTTTTAAATGAAATAACTTGCATCTCTATGACCATTTATAGTTGGAGAATTTTCTTCTTGAGAAACTTGGCTAGAATTTTAGATACTAAATCACATTATTCCACTAGGGTGTTGTTATTTTTCTTATTTACTCTCAAAACCTAACCAGATAGCAGGAAGATTTGAAGCAGTCTCCCAGGAGTGAGACCTGTTTTGTCACTACTTAGAAGCTTCCTGCATTTTCGTCTCTTTCCATACATTTAACTGAATTGTGTAGAACAAGCCAGTGTCCTCGCCCTAATACCCTGAGCCTGTGGACATGACCCTAATGTAGAATTAAGGGTTGACCCACAAAACATAAGCTGGATTATCCCGGGGTCTGGTATGCTCCATCACAAGGCTACCGAGAAGGCGGAGACGGGAAGGTAGAGGGAGGGACCAGGAGGAATGGGGTGGGGGTGGAGGGGAGGGCAGGCCATGCACACAGGCGGTCTTGGGAAGTGGAAGAAGATAAGGAAATGGATTCTGCTGCAGGAACTCATCCTCCTGATGCCTTGAGTTGAGCCCAACAAGACTGATTTTGGACTTCTGATTTCCAGGATTGCAAGATGATAAATTTGCATTGTTTTGAGCTATTAAGTAATTTGTTACAGTAGCAATAAGAAGCCAATAATACTTATGATGATAAATTGAGTGTTTAGGGAGATTCATTTATAAGGAAATATTTCCACATTTTTCTAAAGAAGCATATATTGAAGAATATTGAATTCTCTTTACCACTGGTTTTCTAAGCCCCTGTGCAGTGATGTCTCTTCCTTGCTGTTTGTGGCAGGTCCTTGATACCTCTTCTGCCATGCTGCTTCCCTTACATACAAGCCATTCCCCGGGGGAGCGGCAGATTGTTGTCCTCTCCCTGCAGTGAGGCCAGGACAAGTTGTGGGGTGTCTGAGTTCCTGCTTTCACTGTGGTTCACGCCAGCGTCCCACCCTCCACCCACAAAAGGCCTTGTGCAAAGTGAAACTGGGTGCTGGAAGCAGCTTGCTTGGTTAGAGTTTTAACACCAAGGCTATCAGACATTTGATTGTCAGGAAATACAAAATTCTTCATTTCTCCTTTTGGCTATTTTGGGTTTGTTTGTGAACTATGACAATTTGCTTTCATTTTTACCCCATGATTGCTAATTTGGTGAGTGCCAGCCTCACTCTACACCCAGTATAAAATGAAGTCTCCTTAGCACCTAACTCTCTGCAGCATCAGAAGCTGTTAGCGTTACTCCTTGTAAAAATGCAGCATTTTAGAAGTTTTAATTATTCATTAAAATTTTAAAAGAGTTTAGTAAGTACCTACCATATGCAAGACAGTGCTAGCTAGCATGGGACACACAGTGATGAAAAAACATAGTCCCTACGTCCATGAAACTACCTCTAACCATTCTATTTGAGTCTTGTGAAAAAATTATATAAGATAAAATAAGAACAAATGGTTCTATAGTACTAAAAAGCACATTTAGACATTAGAAGAGTGAAAAATATTTGTGCAATAATAGGATTGTGGGGCAGATCCCATTTAAATAATTCAGAATAAAGAAGCATAAGAATATTTAGAAGCAGAAGACAATAATAGGAAGTGGTCAGAGAAAACTTTCAACAGGAAGAAAAGCAGAGATAATGTGCTTCAGGTCATGATGTAACTATGCTGAGGCCAGTGCCAGGAACTGTGACCCTTAATGCGGGCCAAGAGTTGGACGAGAGTGAGAAGGGTGTTCTCCACACCTAGCAGGTGACTTTGCAGCACGGTGTGCAGCCTGCTGCCCTGAGAGGAGAAGCGAACGTAGGCACTGACTGCAGCTAGTGAGGTAGCTCCCTGCTGGAGCCCAGGACATTTTGCACTGTGATC